TCGATACAAAGACGCATTGTACCATTTTTTTTAACAAATAAAACTAGAGCTCCCCAGGGTGAAACACTTGGCTGAATGAAACCTTTCTTCAATAGATCACCGAGTTGAGTTTTAAGCTCTTTCATTTCAGTTGGAGCCATTCGGTAGGGAGCCTTGGGAATAGGAGAAGCTCCCGGGACTAGATCGATATTAAATTCGACTTCCCGTACTGGTGGTATACCCGGTAAATCGTCGAGAAACACATCAAAATATTCAGAAACAATAGATATGGATGCAGAAGTAGGAAATACCTGTTCGGGATCTTGTAGAGCAGCAAGAAAACTTTCATTACTTTGCCACGCATACTATTTTACGATAATAGAGATTACTACATTAAAATCTTCTTTTGGAGTACCTCCTTGGAAGATTGCCTTCGGGTTGTCCATATCCCCAAACAAAATTTGTTTGGTATTACAGTCTATAGTTTCCCGGTGACGTGACAGCCAGTCCATACCTAATATTAAATCGAAATAAGACATATGTATTGGAAGAAGAGTGACCTCCCATATGCAATCCCCAATAAGCAACGGGCAGTTGGAAAAACGAGTTACCACACAGATTGAACCACCCATTGGGGTAGATATTACTACTGGAAATTCGATGTTTTGCTCATACGATTTTAACCGGGATTCTAATTGTCAGAAACAACTGAGTGTGTCGCACCGCTATCAAACAAAGCATAAATAGATAAATCAATTAATTTAACATGACCTGAAATTAGGCATGGCAACGGGGCGGAGATGAGGCGGGTTTTGTAATCCCCAGCCCTAGCCCTGGTTTGTAGTAACGTCCCCCGGCCCCGGTCCCCGACGGATACCGGGATTATCATCTCGTCCCCGATCAAATCTCTAGCAATCCCTGATCAAAACCCGGTAGATACCCGGTCAATCCCTGGTAAAACCCCATAAATAGTATCCTTTAATTTGATTCTACCGGGGATCCATAGTCTCGGCCCCGGTTTGAGTAACATCCCCCATCCTCGGTTTGAGTCTACCGTAGATCCCCGGCCCTGGGACCCTTTTCAGCGGGGAATCCCCATTCGGGTCGGGTGAACCGAGTTCCCCACCAGGTCGGGGCAAATCACTATCCCTATTTGAAATCATACCTACTAGAGATTTGCTTCCAGGTAATGCAAAGACTCGTCAACTAATACTTGGTTGTTTTCCTTTCCCTTTGTCAGTTCGGATTTGAGCTTTAGGACAATATGTAGCCATGTGACCTTGTTCTCGACAATTAAAACATAAATCGGTCATCTTTAGGCACGGACCTGGTCAATGTCGAAGATTGCATCAATCACAATTAATAACAGGGCTAGAAACATTTTGACTCCCACTGCTAGACAACACTAAAAGTCATGGCGTGAATAGATTCGAGCATTTTGGAGTATTGTTGCTCGACTTTGATTTTACAAAACGAGGGTTGCTTCGGGAGAAAGATTCAGGTATACGTCTCTTATTATCAAACGTGAAGTTAACAGTTGTTGTGACCGATCAATATTCTTTGTTGTGTCACCACTTCAGTAACGGTATTAAAAGAATGATTCAAGAGACGATCTTTATACCTTGAGTTCAAAGTCCATTTAAACTTGTCAGCTTGTTGGACTTGAGTGCCTGTAGTATTTCCTGCAAAACGAGAAAATTTTAAGGAAAACGTTCCATGTAGTGGGCAACTTTTTCTTCTTCGCCTTGCTGGATAGTTGCATATTCTCGCACAGAGGCATCACGATCAGCCGAAGTAAGTTATTGCTTGAAGAATAATCTGTGAAATCATCCCAAGACAAGTCTTTAATAGACGGATTAGTTTGGATACAAGCTTCCCACCAGTTATTGGCTTTTTTCTCAAACATATAAGTAGTCAAGCGGATCCGATACTGATTTGGGATATCTAAAACATTGAAAATATTTTCCATGTGTCGAATCCAGTGTTCGGCATCCACATAATCTATGACAATTGAAAAGGGCTGAGGTTTTTGTTTGTTAAACCTTTCAAGCCATAAATATATTTCTCCCGTTGGGTTACACGAACTGGATGCAAGATTTCTAGTATTTGGTGTAGGACCAGGATTTGGGTTCGAAGGAAGATTATGCGCTGCTTGTTGCATATCTTGGATGGGCTGCTGGAGATTTGTAGGCATCATACTTGACATGGTCTGACGGACCATATCAGCAATATTGGGTTCACTTCCACCCCCCATAGGATTGGGGTTCGGATTTGGGTTACCCTCAGGTTGAGATCTTGATTTGCGTGGGCGACCACATCTCGACATTCTAAAATAGAACAAAATGAAGATTAGAATTCAAAACAGTTATGGATTAGAAAAACGGTAGATAGAATTAAAGTCTAGTATACCCGTTCTTATGTGTACTCAATTCTCACAGGTTACGTTTACTTAATCTACAAGTCAAAATCTCTGCTCTGATACCACACTTGTAACATCCCCCGTCCACGTGGTCCGGAATGGAGGGTGTCACTAACGGGACTTAGTTCAAAGACACAAATATTACAGAGCTACTAATAAACTCCAAACGTAGATTAACTTCTAAAACATGTTTTACAACCCAAAATATTACATTCTAGCAACTATTTATAAGCTTTGAATATTATACATCTACAAACGAGTTTACAAACTCCAAATAGTTAAATGTTCGATCTCAAGTCCCGTCTCTATCAGTATCACTTGGAATATGTCGTGTCAGAAACAAGAACACGGCTAAGCACGGGGCTCAGTGAACAGATTATAATATAAACTTGAAATAATAATACGTAACATCGATAATAAAGCGGAAAAATTAAAAATCAATTAAACAGAATTCATAGAAAATCAAGAAGTTTCACAATTCTCATTTCAAAACATCATTTAAATAAAATCTGTCAATTCCCATAGTTTTCGTGGGGTGGCCAAACCACACGAACTATCGGGTCGGCAAACGAGCACACACCTCGAGTCCCCCGTGAATTTAACCACTGCCACATTGTGGGTAATCCTAGGACCGATCCATCCGCCCTGGAGCCAATAAAATCGGCATAGTCCACAAGGTGGGTTCACGTAAGCCACTATTGGGTGCAACCCTATGGACCAAGTTCACCTGCAGGACGCCATAACTACAATGTCGTCATAGAAGGCATCCCAAATAATATGCCCATTAATTGGGTTGGTCTGAAACCAATAAAACTAAACATGTGCCATTACCCGGATGACTTTCATAAAAAGTCAAGCTTCAAAGTACTTCATAAAACTAAAAATTACTCCAAAATATGAGAATCAATTTAACAAACTTGAAAGATTCAAACATACAATTCAACTGACTAAACTCAAGTGTTCACGATAAAGATTCAAGAGTTTTTATATATATAATTACGTAATTTGTTGACTACTTTTAAGCGATCAATCACAAGGAGGTAAACCACTGTTACGAATGGTCAACTACAAGAGTCAAATAAAGTGAAATCCATACCTTAGGCGGAATAGAGAAGTAAAGCATAATCAAACGGGATTCACGATAAAGTTTGACTTGGTCGCGTGCCGATCGAATGCGTAAATCAGTTATTACTTAAACGACGTAAAATCATATCTCAATTCTACTAATAAGGTACTTAGGTCCTACATGTTTATAAACAACTTAAAATTCAAACGGAACAACCAGATACGCATTGAGTATTCAAAATACAAAGTTAGCTTTATATAATTCCGGTCTCGGCTTTTAACAGCTTTTATCCCTCATTTTGGAGAGCATTTTTACCTCACTTTGAGGTCAATACAAACAATACTATCTAAATGAAAGTTGTATTATGATATATAATGAATCTACTAGTTTTAGAATTACCTCATTTGGATTTTCCATCTATTTTATACGAATTTTGCAAAATAGCAGATTAATCCCAAATACAGTGCAAACAGCCCCGAAAACACACTGTTTCGAGCCACTTAGATTCATAACTGGATTTTCGACCCTACATGAGTACACAGTAAGGGCGTTATAACTACAAAATACGAGTTTATTCTGACTTACTGTTTGTGAATTATACACCATCAAAATACGAGAGCTGCATTGTCAGTAAAATCCGATTCCACAATTCTGGACTAACTTTTATGATTCAACTTTTATAATTCGCTCCATTTACGTGCTATAAACATATTTCAACATATTAAACAGTAAAACAAGTCTAATGGTCGCTAACATAAGCTTAATCATGCAATTTTACTTTTTTCGACACTTAATCGAACAATTGGTGTGCGATTAAACATATACCCACAATCTAACCATATTGAAACCATAATCTACCCTTTTAATTTCTACATCAATTTAACCAATCATAGCATTTCTAATCATGAAATATATCATAATTTTTAACATCAATCCGTAAACTAAGACATAAACATAATTATAATTCTATCTAAAAAAATGCTAACATAAACACCCTAATAAAATTGAATGAAATTTATACCTTTAGAAAGAATTCGAATAGTAGATTCCGAATATATAATTGCTATCTTGATTTCTTCAATGATTTGAGAGATATTTTAGAGAGAAGACTAGAGTTTTTAGAAAGAAAATGAGGGAGAATGAGGCGGTCATGTAGGAGACGATGCATATGGTGACTGTTTTTTACTCTATATATATATATATATATATATATATATATATATATACTACTTTGTTAACCAAATTTTATATATATCTTAAAAGTCTTAAATTATTAAAAATAAAAATAAAGTCTTAAAGTCTTTTCGTTGCCGGCTCATTTGTAGGTTTTCAACACTTAAATTATTATTAAAATAAAAAAATAATTTAAAAATAAAAATAAAGTCTTAAAGTCTTATCGTTGCCCTCTCATTTGTAGGTTTCCAACACGTAAATTATTATTAAAATAAAAAAATAAATTAAAAATAAAAATAAAGTCTTAAAGTCTTATCTTTGTCGTCTCATTTGTAGTTTCCAACTCTTAATTTTATTGTTGTCGTCTTAAACTACAGATGAAGTAATCCATCGCTGCCTTCTTACTTTTGTTCTTACTTTCCAAGACGACGATTCAGATTGATCTCCTCAAGATGACGATTCAATCCATCACTATCATGTCATATATATCAATCCATCGCTCCACTTCCATCGTCATCCATCGCTCCTCTTACTCGAATCAGGTAAAAACACCTAATACGTCGCTCCTCTACTCGAATCTTCATGTTTTCCTTTCTGTTTATGTTTATGTTTGATTCCTTTATATATGCCATGTTTTATAAGCATCCAAATGCATTCTTCTGTTTGTCTTAATTGAAGTTTAAAAGGTTATCCCATGAATATATTGTTGCAGCGTCCCCATTGTGACCATCAAAAATCTGCAAATTTAGCAAAAAGGTCGTTAGCAAAAATCTATAAATTTAGCATAAAGGTCATGGATTTCGCACCACAAATTCTATTTATGATTATGTTTGTGCTAATTGAAGTACGTCATAGCACGGTAGATTTAGGGAGCATTGAAACTCAACCTTATTTTGATGTGGTTATATATTGAATGCTCCCAAAGAAAGCATAATTTCTGGTGTAATAAAAAAATTATGTTGCAATGTAATAGAGCTTTGTTTAAAGACTTTGTGCCTGTTCTGTTTTGGCTTTTTGCCCAATTTCTTCCGTTTATTGTCTCCTATCTATGGGTATAATCTCAATTTAGAAGTGGACCTGCCAAATTGAGAATGGATAGACTTGACCATTTCTACTCAATATTTTCCTCTTGGGCTCATTTGAAGAGGAATCTTATGGGATTCCACCTATGTTGTGTCACCTTTTTGTTTACTTATACGTTCTGTGTCATAAGATGCCTAGTGTCATAAGATGCCTGGTTGTTTACTTGTGATGTTTTACTATCCCCATTTACTATATAATATCTTATTAGCAAAATGTACCAGGTGACAAGTTTTGGTAAGTTGAATAAGGCACTAAATATGGCTTGTCATGATAATAGTCTTCATCTGCAAGTCTTGCCTGCTTTATCAGCAATATCTGCCTGAAAATAGCAACCAGAATTACATGGCATAATATAAAATCAGTTTGCAGGTTAGGTTGATGATTCATTATAGTGTTTATATGTAGATGCAACATGAACATTTATCGGTTGTCTCTCTACTGCCACTGTGAGGTTTTATACCACGACAATTTTCCAACCTTGCAATGGCACACAGCAGTTGCCTTGGTAATGAACTACCAGAATTACATGGCATAATATAAAATCAGTTAACTTACAAATTTCAGAGGTACCAAAGTCCATCCTTACATCTAAGGGAACCCGCACTATCTTGAGATTCTCTAAAAGGCAATCAAGAGGATTGCCATCCTTTATTTTCGAAAGAAAGACACGTTTAGCATCAATAAGATCTGAACAAGACTGAATAATCTGAAATAGCAAATGAGAGGCGATATTAGAGTTATAGTACATTAAACAATTTAATAATAAAATTTAGTAAGGATCATTAGGTTCTGGTGGACATTTTACATATTATAGACTTGACTCTTTTGGTGTGTGTTTCACCGTAGAGTGTGCAGCTGCTAGGGACAGAAGTTGTACCCTGAAGACCGTACCTTCGAGTGAGGTATATTGGGTTATATGGTTTGGTTTGGTTTATTTGTGGTGTGTATTTAATGATGTTTTTCCAGTGATCAGTCAGAACTTCATGTGAACTTACATTATTAAAGGCCACTTCATCAAATCAAATGAAGCTTTCCATTTTCATTGTTTTTGGACTCAATATTGGTCTTTCCGTGTCCCTTAAATTGAATAATCGTCCACTTAAAGAGCGGAGGTAGATTCACCATACCAACTATTTGAACTGGAAATGCTGCATAGTGTCACTTCAATTTATAGATCTTTTGGGTGAAATTTGAAATCCTTACCTGGTGGTTTTTATTTTGAGTATTGGTTGATTTATGCTCTGCACATGTTTTGGTGATTTTTCTTAGATTTGGATGTTGCCTCCTTTTCCATCTTGGGAAGGGGGTGTTACATCTCTCTCTCTCTCTCTTTATCTCTCTCTCTCTCTTTATGTTCTACTAATGAGTGACAAAGTTGTTTTCATCTAGAGCTTTGCTTTGTAGTTGACCTATAACTTATGTCTTGTTTTACAAATGTATGTTTCCCCTCTATTTTCCTCAAATCACAGATCTTCTTTATAAACTTCCTCGTGTCATCCTTTTAATGTTGAAGAAGAATGATTGCTTGCGTACAGTAATTGACGCACTGGTATGTCTTTCTGCAATTTAATTTGATAATTCTCTGTTCTGGTCTGCATAAAAAAGAGTTTAGCATCCACCTCGTGTAATTATATCTCCGTGTTGGATTTAACCTACACATGCATACCCACTCATACAAAATTAGATCTTAGTAAGCCATTTGGATGTAATTTTGTGTCAGTAAGTTTATTAGGGAGTTTTGTGTCAGTAAGCTTATCATGGAATTCGTTGTCACATCCAAAAATGCGTTTTAGACAAAACATACAGGTAATGTGCATTTTGGTTCTATAGTCCTTAGTTTCATTTGGGTTCTATAAAGTCCATATAATATTGTTTTCATCTGGGTTTTTTACACTATAGGTTCTTGATTTCATTTATGTTTTCAATTGGGTTTATACACATGTTCATGCTTGACACTTTGATTGTTTGAGGGATAGACTTTCTTCAAAGATTGTTTGAGGGATAGACTTTCTTCAAAAATTGTTTGAGGGATAGACTTTTCGAGTAGGCTTATTCAAACTTTTTTATTTTTGGATTTCAGAAAAGACGATCTTACAAGTTGTGGTGTGATGAATGATTCAAGTAATGGGCTAATATTCTTTTTGTCGAGCATATGTTTTGGTTTATGTGCAAAGGTTTTTGAAATCTGGGTAGTAGAAACGCTCCAGGATCTGGTAAACATTTAGTAAACAATTGAGTGTTGTAACACTACTTATAGTTATTTAATTATTGGGCAGTCGATTTAGGCAAATCCCTATCCTAAGAACGGTGGACTTAACCAAAAATTTGGATGTGATGCTGATTATCTTTCCAATTTTTCATATAATATATTGTTTTATGTGTTCCTCAAATGATGGATGAGTACATTGGTTGATGATGTGTTGGATTTATCGTGTTCAGGTGTTGGACCTTTGTAGTTGGTGGAATTCCAGGAGATTTTAACGTGAAGATGTATCAGTGGCTATGACTAGCTAGAGTAAAGACTAACAATTGCTCGAATAGTTGGGCTATATTCATGATTTGTTGATTGTTTTTAAATTTTATTAATTTCTTTAATGTTTAAATGTAAGAGCTTTCCTTTAGACTCATACCTGCATAGATGCCAAATGAATTATAATACCAAATGCTAAATGTTTGAATGTAAGAACTTTCCTTAATGTTTAAATGAAGCTGCCTGAATTCATTTGGGAATCTGGACAGTTCTTGAAGTTCTTCTTTGTTGACAATTTTTGTTGACTTCTGTGTGTGTATTCATCATCGCCGTCGTTTCAATTTTTTTTTGCCATTGTGTATATTTTATTTGTTCCTTTTTCAAGCCTTCATTATGTGTGTATGCATGTTCTTTTTCGTTGTTGTTGAAGATTTGGTTTTGCTCACAACCCATTAATTTTAAGAGATTGATTTCATAGTGTTATTTTTACTTGCTTTATGTATATAATATATTTCTAATAAAGAAATTCCCTATTAATGTTGATAAAAAAAATCACGAGATGAATCCTACAGTGAAATCCAAATTAAACCTTAAATGTAAAATCCAAAGTCTCATGCACATGAATAGTAGTTCAATGAAATTAGTATTTGAGTTTGAAATTATACTAAAACAATCATTTGGATTCGATGACTTTAATTTCGATTGGAATGTTGTAGATTTAAAATGTATAAGGTAAGATTCAAAATTGAAGACCAAACTACCTATCTGATATTGAGACCATTGATTACTGTGAATAGCCAAACTGAAAGTTTTAGGTGGGTTTGTGGTTCCCCATTCTCTCAAAACCAAAGTGGTTCAGTCCTTTAGATTGACGAAAACATACCAAAGTGTGTTCATCTACAGCTGTAACAAAATCAATCGCACCAGTGTTGGTTGATGGTTGGAACAAATGTGGATGATGAGTTGGTGGTCAATAATAAAGATGTTTTAAAATTGATCTATTGGTATTACCCACTCCTGTTTTGAATTACATATATGTTGGTGCAACAATGATTTCGAATGGCATATTGGCTTGAGATGTGGATGTCAATCAAGAAGTTGAATCTGCCTTTTTACTGTTGTTTTCAATCTGCATTTTCATGGATTACAATATCAAGTTTATTATGTTGCTTCCAACTTTATGTGGTATCTAAAAATTGAATTTATCTTTGATAGAACTTTTGCATCTTGCTGCATTACGCGGGTATCCAACTAGTGTGCGTTTGTGTGTATGGGTGGGTTCACGTGAGACCAGACTGTTTTCGTGAGACCCGTGAAACCATTTTTTTTACACTTGAAACTTCACACGGAACACTGTAAAGGTAAAAAAATCTGAACCTTCACAGTAAAAAACACTGTGAAGGTTACCTTCACAGTGTTTTCTGTGAAGTTTCAAGTGTAAAAAGAGGTTTCACGGGTCTCATGAAAATAGACTAGTCTCAGGTGATCCCAAATCTATATATATATATACACACACACACACACATATATATATATATACATAGAGGAATGATCAAATACAAATTGTCCAAATTTGTACAAACCTTACAAATTAATTACAACTAATCTATACTACTTTATTAAACATTTTCCCTCAAAGTCTTAAAGTCTTAAGTTTATAAATACCCAAAATACCCCTTTACATTTACCCTTACCTTTACCTTCCTTTACCTATCTAATAATTGCC